CCTCGATCATAAGAGTATCTTCAATGGACTTATATGACATAAATTTTTTATTATAAATAGTTTATCCACAAAAACAAGAATTCAATAAACTCTCTATTCTTTAAATATAAATTAAAAAGTGGTTTAACTCTCTGCATCTAAAAAGTCAAATTTCACTCTCTACCCCAATTTTAGTTAATAAATTATAAGTTTATATACATTTTATTATTAATTCTCTCTTATATTAAGTTTATCTCTTATTTATTAAATCTAATTTAAAGAGTTTATTGGATTTGAATACAATTTTTATTCTTTATATTTAAAAATTAATAAAAATACTCTTTATTTGTATAAAATATGCTCTTTAAAATAAAAAATACCATTAAAGATGCTCTAAGATGCAAATTAGTATTTAGTGTAAGCGACCTGTTCCCACCCAAGGTTTAGCAAAAGTCCAATTCCCACCTCTGGTTTCATATGAATTATACATTCTAACCTTGAATTAATACCAGTTTGTTTCTTTAATAGATAAAAGGTTTAAATAGACATGTATAATATTATAATATTTTATTTCTGCAGAAACATCTCTCTCTCCCTTTATCTCCCACCCCGCAGATCTTGCAGATCGTGGCCACCGCAACTTTTTTCTGCGCGTGATCGTTACTCCCTGGCTGGATTCTTGCAGATTTCATGCAACAACATCCCACCTTCCTCGGCCTTTATATCAGACGCCTTACTCAATTTTGCCTTAATCGACTTCGTTAATGCCTTTCATTATGTATTTCCACAATTAGATTACCAGGAATACTAGTCTTATAAAGATATATACAAGAGTAGTATACAAAGATAAATCATACCCTTAAAAAAGGAAAAAAGAAAAAGAGAGAAAGACAATCATAAAGATTAAGGGTATGATTTGTCTTTGTATAGCTCCCTTTTGTAAGACTAGCATTTCTCTTAGATTATACTAGGTATCTACATGAAGTTATAATCTCGTTTCCCTCTTAATATAGTTCGCAAATCGCAACATATAAGCTTTGAATGCTTTGACCAACTATTTGTTGGGTTATTTGATATACTCCAAGTGAGTGGAAAATTATGTCTATTGGATTGGAGGCGGAGCAATTCCTTGTCATGGTGGCGGTCAACTTTGTGTCAACCTGACACTAACACGAGCTTCATCCCCCCACCCTCATCAAAACCCCATCACCTCCTGGCCGTACCAGCTCGTCGTTCGTCCGCTGTCGCAACTGTTCTTGCACAATTGCCGCGCACTTGGAAGCCTCGCCACCGATAGTTTTCACCTCAAATCAGACACAATTAACACCTACTATTTTATTTGGTTGATTGTTGTGTGTAATCGAGTTGCCGACAACCCATCTGTCATCGAATTTCTGCACTTTCAAGCCATGCCCACAACCTGCTTGAAGAAAAGTCACGCCCACAACCAACACCAAATCTGTTTTTCTAGGAAAAGAAATTATATTCTCTATTTTTATTCTATAAACTATGGATCCTGGTTTGACACCAAGAAATCTGATTGCTTGATTTGAGTTGTGTGTTGCTTGATTGAGACAGCCGATTGCTTGATTTGAGTTGTGTATTATTAGCATCTAGGTAGAAGAGGGTGGCAGATTTGTTGTTCATGGTGGCCTCGGCCACGCGAACGGTGTTGGGGTTTTTGCCACTGGCAATATTGTGGAAGTAGATGTGGAGGTGGCTGAGCTTTTGCTTTTTGAGGCCAAGGGATTTTGGAGAGAGGGTTTTGGGGAAGTGATTGGATTTTGCAAAGGTTAGGGTGGAGGAGAGGAGGATTATGAGAAGAATTGGGATGAGTTTTGGGGCAGCGACGACGACGGCGACGGTGGCCATGGCTTTTAGAGGGTTTGGAGTCGGTGAGATGAAGAAGAACATATGGAAGGGCGGTATGGTAATAGCAGAGGAGGGGAGGTAAAGATGAAGAAGATGAGGGGAAGTTTGGTAACAATATTCTTTGGATTTGTATAGAACCCAATAATGATTAATAGTGTTAATTAAAGGGTGGGATCTCGAATTTATAAAACCACTGGCGAGAGTCGGCTATTTCGTTGAACCGTGGGTGGAAACATGTCTTTTACTCTCAGGGGCATTTGGTTGGGGGTTGGATGGGATTATTGAAGTTAAGTCATTTTATATTACTTGATTACCATATTTGGTTGTCAATGATTACCATATTTGGTTATCAAGTAATAGAAGATACTGGTAATCATTAAATACCAATGGTGGTTATTATTAGTAATATTATAGATAATCTGATTACCTCTGTTTTCTTAGGTATTTTAAGATTATCAAATTTATCTTTTTTTTTTGTTACAATTCTATCCCTTATTAATAAAATTTTAGGACAATAATGCTATTATTTTTAAATTTATTTACATGAATATGGTTTTTACTATTTCACCACAATTAATTAACTTTTTGGACAAAATTATCCTTGAAATTAAAACAAATTGTAACCCACCTAAGCCACCACTCTCACCCACCTATTGTCGTTAGCCGCTAAAAACCACTACCACGGCCAGCCGTTGGAACAATGCACGGAATGTTGAAAATGGTCGTCATGTGCTGATATGACCATTTCCGACCAGATCCATCATTGATCTGGCCGTTGATGGCCAGATCCATCGATCTGGCCGTCGACGACCAGCTTTGTCACGTTTGGCCATTTCCAGCCAAGTCTCTGGCCGAAAATGGCCATACGGCGCACGGAGACCATTTCTTGTCTTCTGTGTGCCGTTAGGTTGCTAGCTGCCGGCAGTGACTGGGTTGGTGGAGATGCTTTGTTGATTTTCCAAACTTTTTATTATGGGGTTGTTTTTGCTAAGTTTTTAAATGCAAAGGGGGTTATAATAATCTAAATAATAATCAATATTAAAAAATAATATAATAATAATATTTAATTATAGGACAATTCAGTAATTTAAATAACATACTCACCAATTTATTATTCCCGACCAAACATATTAATATAATATACCTACCAATTAACTAAACATATTTTCCAAAAAATTCACAGTAATCTTTAAGGTAATCTAACTTTTCAGTAATCCAACATTCCCTGAACCAAACGCCTTCTTAGTATTTATTTCAGACATTAAACTCATAGAATTCAATCTCACGTTAATGATTGTGATACTGTATTGGGTATTCAAAACTCTTGGTAAATTTTGTCAAGTATAGTTGATAATGTTCAGGTCAATATTTCGATTTTAAAAACGACATTATAGTTTCATATAATGATGTTAATTTTGATAACCAAGTGTTCCGATTTTCATTTAAAATGTGAAAATTCCTTTTTACTTTCTCATTAATGGTGATCACATTTCAAGAACTAATGCCTGTATATTCTATAACCTGAACACTTAAATTCAACCATATATTTCTTCATATTTGACCAATTACTTATATGTCATAGCCTATCTTATGATTCTGCATCAGGTGGCTGGTGGTCATGAAATCTTTTGCTTATCTTCTCCCGTTTCCATTTTTTTTTTTTATTTGTTTGTTGCATATTATTATAAAGATTACTACTATGTAACCAATTTTTCAAATGTCACACTTCCTGTTTTGTTAAATAATTTAGAAAATTGATTGGATTTAATAAAGAACAAATTTTACTGCAATTCAGGACTCAGGAGACATGCGAGTGGTTGAGTTTTGTGTCAAGAGTAATGAATGAATGTTGATTAAATAAAATATAATTGAGATATTATGGGCTTAGTTTGGTTGCCAATTGGGAATACTACTTTTAGTATTCTCAAAAAAGTTAAACAGTAAAATACCCAAAAACTTTGATTTTTGGGAATACTACTCCCAATATTATTTAACTTTTTTTAAACCCCTTAAATTTGATAATTTAATTAAATACCCCTAAATATTTTTTTAAAAATTACAAAAACACCCCAGTAATTCATATTTACCAGATTCCGGCCACCACTACCGGAAAATGGCCGGAATCTGTTAGGATGGCGCACTACCGGCTGAATCTGGCTGGTAGTGCGCCGATCTAGCCTTTTCCGATCAGATCCACGGTGGATCTGGCCGGAAAAGGCCAGATCTAAGGCCAAAGATCTGGCCGTTGACGGCCAGATCTTTGGCCGTAAAGGTTTATAACGACGGCCAACAAACGGTCGTCGTTGACCATCAACGACGACCGTTTGTTGGTCATCATTGACGAGAAACTACGGCTAGATCTGGCCTTTGTCGGCCAGATCCACCGTGGATCTGGCCGGCAAAGGCCATATCGGCGCACGACCGGCAAGATCCAGCCGGTCATGCGCCAATACGGTAAACCCAGCCACTCTCCGGCGGTGGTGGCCGACTGTTCGTATTTGACATTGGGTTGGGGGTGTTTTTGTTAACTTTTAAAATTTTATTATAGGGGGTATTTTATTGATTTATAAATCGTACATCGTAATACCCGCCCAATTCAACTTTTTTCAGAAAACTTTTCCCAAAAACACCCAATTATGAACCAAACGAAGCCATGGTACATGATAAATGAAAGCTATTTTTGATGAAGAATATAAACGAATGTCTTTTTTTTTTTTTTTTTAAGAGATTAGTTAAAGTATGTGTAAATTAAATCAAACATTTTTAATCATAAAAAGCAAAAAATTAAATGAGATAGAATAAAATTGTTAATGAAATTTTATATTCTTGTTTCTAAGATTAAAGAGAAATGAATGAAAATATTCAATATTTAATTATGAGAAGTGCTAGTCTTACAAAGACAAATACAAAAAGAGCATATAACGGCAACTCCACCTTTGATCTTTATGATTTTTCTCTTTCTCTTTCTTTTTTTCTCCGTTTTTTTCTTTATTTTATAACCTTCTTTGTAGAATAACATTTTTTTTAATTATATAAATATTTATTATTTTGAAAACCCTGCCGTAGTGTCATTGACTCATTGTCTATCAACAACCAATAACCCCCTAAATTAAAAAATTAACCAAATAAAAAATCAAATAAACCATTAAAATAAAAATAATAAATCAATAAAAAAGAAAAGAAAAAAACATAAAAACACAACTCCATCGCCTGCACCTTCGCGGCCACGTCCCACGCCCTACAGATTCGAACCTATCGTAACCGCCATGCCACACAGCTAAGGAGCCCACCTAGTCGGGTAGATATGATAGATTTTGGGTTTTTTTTTTTTTGTTTTTTTTGTTTTAATGTTTCCCTTCTTTCTTTAATTGATTTTTAATGGTGGGGGAGTTGCCATCGAATTTTTCAGTAATGGTTGTTTGTTGATATTGGGTTTTTGTTCTGATAATGAAATTCTTTGCGGCTGCACTTTTGTGGAGTTTGATTTGTTTCAATTGAAGTGAAACATTTTATGACTATGAATTTCTATTAGATGATGGAAGTGTTGCTCTCTTTTTATGTCTCATTGGTTTTTGATATTATATCATTGTAGTATGAATTTGAACAACAATTAAAAAATTCGGCTGATATAGTTTACAGTGAAACTAGAGATTTTAGATTTTCCTAGTAAAGTTACCGATTTAATTTCTTTTAAAATTTTAACAAAAAATTATTGGTTACAGATATGCAGTTATAGAGAGATGCAGAAATTGGGTGACTTCAAGCTTCCAGCGTTCTTCAATTACCCGCCATACTTTAGGTGTGCTCTTGCTCGATTAATATGTCATTAAATTACTAGCATTTTACTATTTTTTGCTGGCTATTCAGACGTTGGTAAATACAAATAGGAATTTCTAATGCATGTGAGGAAAATCTTCTTAACTGATCTTGATCTCTTAACTATTTATTATTGTGGAATAAATTATTTAGAATCACCTTTCTGTGAGTGATCTGAGTTTAGCAGCTAACTTGTATGATGCCTACCATATTAGTTTGGCAACTTATTTTGGATCCATTGGTTTAACCTTTAGATGCTGGTTATATCATGACGAAAGTTTAATTGTCTCTCAATAAAGTTTCATCCTCTCATTGATTCATTTTGATTGTGTCATACACATTAGATGCTCTCAAAACTTACCTCTTATAAGAATTTGGTTAAACTGTTTGACAATATATATCCCAAGTTCTGGATATACCCATGAAAAAATATTGCAAGTCCCTTCGCATTTTCATTTTGCAGAAAAGCAGTATTCATTATGATAGCCAAACTTTTTTTATTTGTTATTGAAATTAACTTTTTCTTGTGAAACATTTTAGTTTTATTTTTCCCATTCTTTTTTCCTGTTTACTTTACCTTCTTTCATTCTTATTTTGCCTCGGGATGATCATGTTCATTTCAACATGTATTTTGTTGTTTGTTTTCAGCTTGCAACCAGTGAGAGACACTAGAGAGAAGCAGGTACAGCTTTGGAAGGAACTTATTCTTGATTACTGTAGAACTCAAAAAAAATTTGTGATTGGACTGGAAGAAAATATTTCCTCTCTTCTCGATCCTGTGATTGAAAGTAAGACCAATGTTCTCACTAGGTCTAATTAGGATATTGAATTTTGTGATTGACTCTTTCAACTATTTGTTACACTGTTTCAATGCCATATGGAAGATTCTAAATAGCTTCAGGAACCGTAATAAGATTAAGTGTTTGCATGTATTCCACTCTGTACTGGGAGGTACCCTTACTTGACAAAAGGCATGCTGTTATAAAGGACTATTGAGTGTGGAGGAAAAGGAGCTGCTTATTGTATAGCTTCCATTAACTTATTTAGGGATCCAACACATTTTAAACAGAAAATGTTCATTGCTACCATAAATTTGAAGTAAGTTCATCACTAATGGCTAGTGGCAATCTTATTGTTTGCGTCTACCCTTTTTCGATTCTCCCTTCTTTGGGGAGATTGCATAGGAGGTAGCAAACATTAGTTTGTAAAAGTTGTTTGAGTGCCTGATGAAACTGGATAAGAATGAGATTTTCTTGGCCAGTCATTTGACTTTGGAGTAGGTATGTTATGTCGAATTGGTGGTATATGATCTAGATATTGAGTCCCAATGTGCAAGACTGCAAACGTTTTATTTTAGACTTGAAGAGATGGGATAGTATAGATTTTAAGTACATGGAGAGAGTTTTTTATGGCTTACTTGTACATCGAATTGCAAAGTTGCATAGGACATAAGATTTGGAAACTCTTTAGTTTGAAGAAAGTAATTCTCCAATCATAAATTTTGTGGGCTACTTTCTCAGCCCTTTTAAGGTGCTTTCTATTATCCTGATTACAGTTTGCTCGAAGACTTGAGCTTGGCTTAACCTGTCTGTTTATTTTAATCTGGGCAGTTGTGTTTAACATTTTGTTTTCACATTATTTGTATTTCATAGTTGAACCCCCTTTGATCGTATAGGAATAGTATCTGGTGATTATTTTTGTGATCATTTACTTAGAGTGTCATCTTAATACCCCATCTTCTTTAAGCCAATGAGGCAATCAGCATTGGTTCTAACATGTTAGCCCTTTTCATACTCTGCTTGTTATTATGTACACCTCCATTTCTGTGTCATACAATGTTAGGTGGATGACCTTATTGATTGGGTTAGCTTATAGTAGTTTGTAAAGTGGAAAGTTCTAAAATTCCTAAGTAATGCTCCACTGTACACTTACGCTGGAATATATTGCATACAAATCTAGAAGCCGGAGGTTTAATTTGCTACATGTATTGTCCAATTGATGGGGTTCTACTTAATTGAACTTATTATTGCTTGGAGGATACTCAATGCTATCTTTTTAGAAATTGCTGGAAAGTAGATTGATTATTGGTTTTGGCCAACACTAAGATTTCTGTCACCTTGAATTTCTTTCAAGAGAATCATTACATTTGTTTATAAAGTGAAGCGATACCATTATATTTACAATTTTAAAAATACCATTTGATGTGACATTTAGCATGAATTGATCAAACCTTAATTTTATTTTTGTTTCTATTGTATATAATGTTATATTTGAAGATTGATTTGATTTTTATTTTAGTATCAGTTTGATATTTTATGTAAAGGTCTTGGATTTGATATATTTCCCTATCAGGATAAATAGGATCTAGAGGTCTTTTTCTATAAGTTCCATAAAAGTCTTGAAGGGCTTCAATATATGAGTGAGAATCAATAAAATTTAGAATATTAGATAAACTTTGCTCATGTGCTTTCTCTCTTTGTTGTTTTTCTTTTTTTCTACTCCTTTTTCTTATTTTAACTCTTTTGCTCTCTCTCTCTCTCTCTCTCTCCCTTTTATTCCCCTCTGCTTATTCATGTTGTTCTTTCACTCTTTCCTCTCATTTTCTTTCTCGGCCTTTGCTTATCTTCTAGTTTTACAACGTAGTATTTTCTAGATAATTCACATTTTGATGGAAGGGAATTATGAAGAATACAAGTACTGTTAAACTTGGAAGAGGGTACTATATTTGTCATTATATAATATATATTGGGTGTGTGTGTTGTGGGTGTGTGTGTGTGTGATCCTTTAGATAGATTCTAACTTTTGTGGACGCTTGTTCACTCATTTGTAAGATGGTGAGCTTTTGCAGTAACATACAGGCTTTTCAAGTACTGATGCTACTGTGAATATCCTTTCTTTATCTCTGCTGATATGTCATACTATTTAATTATATCATGCAGGATCCCTTAGTAACGAAGCTAGAGAAGCTTTTCTATCAGCTTTAGTTTCAGAAGGTTTGTTCTGGTCCTGCCTAATTGGATTTTTTTCCCTGTTTTATATTTTATGGTGATGTAAAGGCTATGCTGTACCTTCTATGTGTTCAGTGCATCATTTATTAATTGCCATTCTGTTTAACAGGGCGAGCAGAATGGTTGGATAAAGGACATAGGAAATGCCTTATCCTCTGGCACCGGATTCAGGATTGGGCTGATATTATTTTACGCTTTGTGAGTTATATGTGACTTCGATAAAATTGTTTGAACTTGTAACTGGATCCTTGGTAGTTTTTTTCTGATATTCTTGCATATTTGATTAGGCAAAAGATAATGGATTAGAGGATACTGTTACAACAGTGGAAGAAATACGAACAGGAATAGAATCTCGAGGGACAGGTAAACTAAATGCTTTTATTGTTTCATTGCTATCTCTCTCTTTCTCTATGACATACACACAATTCAGCTGTAGTCACAATTTAAACGAAGTCCAGAATTTAATTGTTTTGCATCCTAATTTTTTTATGCATATTGATTAATGTCTCTCTCCCTTTCTTCATGTACCTCAGAGCTTCATGGGATGGATCGCACGGTACTTATGCGAGCTCTAAAACTGCTCGAACATAAGGGGAAGCTTGCGATCTTCAAGGGCACTTCAGCCGATGATGAAGGCGTGAAATTTTCTGTGTAATTTATGAACCATATTGATTCTTAAAGTTCATTAACAGCACGTTAATAGGCCAAGTATTGCTTTCGCTGTTTGATCAACAAAGTTAATTTAGCGTAATTTTACGGGGCATATAATGAACTGGACCAATAATTCTAGTGTTATTTGTTTTTTTCTTCTGGCTTTTTGTTTGGCTTCTGGGGAATATATGGAAGGTGGGCAGAAGAATTATTGAAGCCACTGTGTTTTGAGTTGGCACAAGTTATTCTTTAATTTTTTGTCCTCTCATGATGTCCAAATAAACTGCATATAATCTTCAAACAAATTGCCTTCATATATTGAGTTTATTAATCAAAATTTATTTTTATTTACTATAATTATCTCAATGAATAAAATACTTTATTAATCGAAAATGATATCAATCAAAATTAAAAGAAAGTTGCTTTCAGTCGTTGGAGCCATTCCCTGACATGACAATTAGTCTCCCGTGAGCATTAGTATATTTTTTTCATAAGAGTAAAAGACTTCTACCTATCCAAGGTTTGTCTTAATGACACTTTTCTATCCAAAGTTTATATTTTATTAATATTTAAAATACATTTTATTTTTTTAGTTAGCGTTTTGCGAATTATTAGGAGTTAGGGCTTGATTACCAGAAGTTAAGGTAAGAGAGGTTTTGTAGAAAGGAGGTCGGTAGTTCGAATGGTGGTGACCGATTAAATACTCGTTGTTGGAATCAATTAAAAATTAACTAAGAATAGGAAACCCTAACTTTACAGTGGCTGACAATCGACAAAAAATCAAATGCTGGAGTGAGAGTGGTTTTGTAGAGAAGAGACCTAAGGTTCAAATAGTGGTGACGAAGAGAATTTTTGTCGTCAGAATCAGCTTTGAGTATTAACAGAATATAAACTTTGGGTGTGAAAAAGTGGTTTTTTAAAATTTTTTGGGTGAGAAAATGACATTGTCGTTCACTCTTTTGACTACCAATCAATAGCCTCCTTAAAATTATTATGTATCAGGGATTTTTAGTAATTAAAGAGGGTTTTTTAACAGTTTCTGAAGACTTGGGTATGCTCATGAGACAATTCTACAAAGGGGTTTATAAAATGAGAGAAAACACAATTGTAAAAATAATGTTCAAGTTTCACAATCATCAAAAGTACGAATACATATTTAAGAGAGAAATAGCTTTGATTTATTTATTATATACACACATTGATAGATAGATCACCGAACTTTGATCTCTTTGATTTTGAAGAAGTCGTCCCATTAACTTGAAATTTTTTTCCAATCTTTGAATTTGACTATTGTGGACAACTTTCTGAATGTTTTTAATAAAATAATTTAAATTTTAACATAAGTTAAGGTTTATTTGATACTTTAACACACCCAAAGTTTTAAAAAACTATTAAAAATCCTCAGACAAGGATACTTATAGGGAGGCTTTTTAATAATTAAACAATCTAGTTAATGAAATAAACCTTAAGTTTAGTCTTTTAGATAAAAATTATTAAATTATATAAATACTTATAGAAATGTAGATATAAATTACTTTAATGTAATAATACATTAGCACTATTAAAAGATGAAATTAGAAATGACGATGTATATAATAATGGATAATACTAATATTTATAAAAATTTAGATAAAATATTTTATAAAATTGACGTTTCAAAATATAATTGAATAAATTAATGTAACAATTATTCATTATCATTTAATATGTATTTATTATATTAATTTATTATATTAATCCATCCAATCATATTTTAACACGTAATTTTGACAAGTAAGATGTTAATATTACCTTATAATGACAAGGGTTGTTTTATTATTGTTTTTTAAATTTTTTGAAAAATATTGAAAATCATGGGTTTGCGCGCCAAAAGATCCCAAATACCGTAACGCTCCCATTTCAAGAGGGATTCTGTGAATGTCTGCCCTCCCTCATTCAATCATTTATTCATATCTTCGGGATCTCCCTTTCCCAAATTTATTCACTACTCTTTCTCCTTCTTCTCTCAATTTTAGGGTTTTGATTTTCAAGTTTTTTCTTCTGGAGTCATAAAACTACAACTATGCCCCCCTCACACTCCCATTCAACCACCACTTGCGGTTCTCTCCTCCAAGAATTACAGGTTCTCTCTTCTCTTCATTGTCTCCTTTGACACATTGGAAATGCTTTTTTGATCTTAAAAAGCACTTCATCTATAATAGCTTTTTTACCGGTGCCAAATGTGCTATGAGATAACTATTAACTGCTATTGCCATTTGCAATTTCAAGTTGTTTCTATAATTAATTAAGTTTTTTTTCTTTAATTACGAGAAGAATTTACTTATCTAATTTAAATTTTTTGTAGCCGAAGAAATGAAAAGATTATTATTTTTTAAAAATTTTTTAACGCTTAACCTAAACATTGGGTATCGGAATATTGGTCTGTGATGGATAGTTTAGGCTTTTTTTTTTTAATTGAAATTAAATTTTGGTGTGTTATTGTTTGCCTCTTATTGCATTTGATTTGAAATTCTAGTTCAGTTTGAGCTGTATTCCTATTTTAGTTGTTTATGGATGTTATTATTAATTTTCTTGTTCTATTTGTAGTTTTATATGCTTATGTTTCAATATTTGATATTAGATAATATGGGATGAAATTGGGGAGAGTGATAGTGAAAGGGACAAGATGCTTTTAGAACTTGAGCAAGAATGCCTTGATATTTACCGTAGAAAGGTTGAGCGAACGAGAAAGTGCAAGGCTGATTTGCATCAAACATTGGCCGAGGCTGAAGCTGAAATTGCGAACCTTACTGTTGCCCTTGGTGAACATGCTTCCTTTTCACGGGTTTGGTCCATCTTGCACTGTTATTTTTCTTGTTTATATTGCTTCTTTAGTAGAAAATGTGATTCTTATTAGATGGTGTGAGGTAACTTATGAAATTGTTTAGAAACTTTTTTATTTTATTTGGTGGCGGAAAGTTATAATTACTGCATACTGAAAGTTAGGCATCGATTGATTAATTTTTTGCTATTTGTAAAGGGAAATGGCCCTCTAAAGCAGCAAATTTCTGCAATAAGACCTGTTTTGGAGGACTTGAGGTCAAAGAAGGAAAAGAGAAGTAAGGAATTTTCAGAGACCCACTGTCAGATTGTTCGGATTTGTGCTGAAATAGCAGGAAGTGGGCAGTCTGTTATTGCTTCTGATCCACAAGTTGATGAATCCAATTTGACTGTGAAGAAATTGGGGGATCTTAAGGCGCACCTTCATGATTTACAAAATGAGAAGGTTCCTTCTATGATCTTGAGAGGTTTTTAGCGGTAATATAAATGCAACATATTTTCTTTTAACTTACGTTGGCTTCCTTGTTTTGCTTAATCTGCAGAATCTTCGGTTGCATAAAGTTAGCAATCATATCAATACTATTCATGAGCTGTCACTTGTGATGTCAATTGATTTCTTTGAGACTGTCAATGAAATTCATCCGAGCTTGAGTGATCCAACAAATAGTCAGTCAAAGAGCATCAGCAATGACAGTCTCGCCAGATTGACTGGCGCAATTTATTCCCTAAAGCAAGAAAAACTACAAAGGCTTCAGAAGGTGATTTTGATGGTTGTCCATATGCGTGTGCATGTATGTGTATGTTTATGTGTATATCTGTGTAAGTGTGTATATGTATGTTTGTATAGGCAAACACACACATAGAGCCTCTAGCATGCAGTGTTTGTCTTCAATGACGAAAAAGTGCTTTACAAAGTATTGTCTCGGTCAAAAGATTATTGAAGGGTAAACTTGAAAGCAGCAAAAAAGAATGCTTAGAAGTGGCCTAAAGCTTCCTTGGGTTAATTTGAAATGATAAGCAGATCAGAAAACAGTCTTCCTTATATGGTTTTTTCTCTCATATATTTATTTATTTTTTTACTGGATAAGAATTGGTAGCTCATTATTAAATTTGAATGCGTTGTTGCTTCACCTTTCTCAATAATCTTACTTGATTATCACTGTTTTCCTTTCTTTTGGAAAAATAATCTTCCAAACTGACCAAACTTTGTTCCATCATGTTTGAGATTTGTGGAAATGGAAAGATGTAATAACTTCAAATTTCCGTCGTTGTATAAGCCAAACAAATACTTGGCAATTAAGCAAAGAATCATGGCTAGTAGATTAACTTTGTTAAAGCAAAGAGTTATTTTCATTATTTTTCATGTGATCTTTATTGATTAATTTCTAGACTTTCTTTTTATAAGCTATCATCTCTTAGTGCTTTGGAATTTTAAAGTGGATATTTTCCTTATTGTCATTACAGGCTAGTTATTTTGTGCCTTTTTATTTTGTTTTGTTGGTGTATATGAACAATTTGTGCAATTGATGACTATAGTTCTTTTGATAACTTGTAATGGCTACAGTTGCTTATTTGTGTAAGCTAATATCTCTCATAGCTTCAACTGTTATATATATAAATATGTTTTTTTTTTTTAACTGTCTTTTTAGTACAGATGGTGTATTTCTGTGCCTTCAGGCCCTGTCTTCAAGGGTCAATGTGACTAATTTGTTACAATTGCAAATTATCAAATGGCTATTATAAGTGTTTCCCTTATTTGGATAGTTTTGTTTGGTATAGCTCCAAGGTCTAGGGAGTGCACTGATAAAGCTGTGGAACCTCTTGGACACACCTGTTGTTGAGCAAAGAAAATTTGAACATGTTACTAGTTTAGCTTCTTCCTCGATTGATGAAGTTTCAAGACAAGGATGCCTTGCTCTAGATGTCCTTGAGCAGGTGATTCTTATTGTCTTTAATTTGTTTTGGGAAGTTGTATATATAAGGAATGTTTTTTATTTGTTTCAATGTAGTATTTTTTACCACTATTTTCTTTATTGTTGCTAGACGGAGGTTGAGGTTGAACGATTAAATATTCTGAAAGCCAGCAAGATGAAAGAGTTGGTGTTCAAGAGGCAAAATGAGCTTGAAGAAATCTACAGAGGGGTTCATATGGATGTAGATAGTGATGCAGCGCGACAGATTCTCATCAGCTTAATAGATTCAGGTCTTAATCCTATTTTGGAGTTTAGTAAATCTAATTTAAATTATTTGAAGTATCTAGTTTTCGGTTATGCCCCTATTATAGATCTTTCACTCTTTTCTGTTTTGAATGAAATCAAATTGCATTTTTCTATTTAACATGTGCTTCGTTTTAGACTATAAAACTGATTTACTTCATCGGGGGTAGTTTCATTATCCATGTGGCTTTAATGTGATGAATGTTGTTTGTGTATTTAAAATTATTATTGTCTTGCATAATATTAGTTGATTTTCTAGTGATAGTTTTGGTATTTATGTTTATATATACGTTTGTCTTTGTAGCTTCTGATGAAACTATTTCTTTAGTTTCTTCATGTATATTTATCTCTTGGACCATGTTTCTTCATTGATAATACTTTTCCAAACTTAGTTATTCCGTACGAGCTTTATTTAGTCCAAAAAAAAAGGACAATGGATGTTTTTGAAATAGAATAAATTTAGATTCTATAATTTATTTGTGAAAAGGAATTATCTAGAGCTCCTGTGTTTTTTGACTGCTATTTAGAATGTGCCTGTGATTGTTGTGCGTTGTTTTCCATTGGTCATATGTAATGTTATGAATTAAAATTTTTATAGAGGATGCACTAGTACATTGGACTTTTTGTGCTTGTTATTAAGTAAATTTTTTTTCTAAAATTCTGAATCAAACTTTGTCTTTGTATATTTGAAAATGGTTGTTACAACATAATTCAATAGGAACTACCCTGGAATTGGTTTATGATTATTGTGCTAAAACATATCTCCACAGGTAACGTTGATTTGTCTGATCTTCTTTCAAGCATGGATGATCAGATAGCAAAAGCCAAAGAGGAAGCTTTAAGCAGGAAGGATATTTTGGACAAGGTAGAGAAATGGAAGCATGCATCTGAGGAAGAAAAGTGGCTCCATGAGTATGAAAAGGTAAATACCATTTGTAAACTATTTATATTATATGCAATATGGTTGGTCTATCAAATAATGTGATTTTTAAACTATTAATGCTGAAGTTATGTTGACATGCAGGATTGTTTTAATTTTTTAATATCCCAGAAAAATTAAATTACACTAAATGATATCTCGTGTTACGTCAAATTGAAACATTTTACTTGCTTGTCCTGCAAATTATTGCCCGCAAACAAGAGTAGGTGCATACATATTATTGGTGATTTGTTGCAGTTTTACTTGAAACTCGTTGAGAGGTTATACTTGTTTACTACCTGGAAAAGTGCAGGTTATTGAAAGTTGCTTTGTTTCGACTTGTTCTGTTTGAAAGAATTGTATTATTCTAGAATCAGTGCAATGTTAGAGATGAACTTAATAAATTACTCTTTAAACTGAGTTGAACCGTTTGTACTCTCTTTTTCTTTCTTTCTTTCTTTTTTTTTTTTATGGGTCCCAAAAAAAAAAAAAAACTATTTTCAAAGATGAGAACCATTCATGTTCTAGTTTCAAGTCGCTGATTGCATTTTTCTAAATTTCTTGATAGCATTTGAGGTATTGTTTTGTAGAAATATTTGTTGAAGTATTTATGTATTTTGAAGTACTAAACTGCTACTCTGTTCATTTCATCCTTTTCTTTCTTCGTCCTTGTATCCTCAGGATGAAAATCGATATAGTGCTGGTAGAGGAGCACACAAGAATCTCAAACGTGCAGAGAAAGCTCGAATTCTTGTCAGCAAAATAACATGTGAGCATATAATTATCTTTCATTAAAAGTACTTGTTGGATGCTTGCATCATTTGTTTGATTCTGATTGGGAAACTTTCATAGACACCGACCTTTTGTTTAATACACTAAGATCCCTGTGATTTAAAAAATCACTCCTGCATCTTAGTGGCCATTTAACCAATTTATTGAGCTATGGTATTTCGGTAATTTAAGGGATGGTTGTTAGTTAAGACAAACTCTATAGCCTGACTGTGTAATCAGGAAATGTCTCCTAGAATTTAGGTTCTGAAATTGTTCCTTAGCTGAAAATGTGGTCAATATTTATGAGCATTGAAGAATTTCACTGCGAATCTTTATTGGAGTCTTAAACAAAGGACATAGGATTTTAATAAGTTATATCTATGGATTAAGAATTTGGAGCTTCATCTACTTCCTAGAATAGACTAGACCTTTAAAATCTCATGTGCAACTATCAATCTGTACAAACAGGAGTAATCATGATAGTTATGATCCGTGATAATAGTTTTTATAGTTGAATAGCATTGCATAGATTAAAATGTGTATAAAATTTTGGATTGAAAGACTGATTTCTTGCAGGAAAGAAAATTTAGAGGAAAAAATCATGGTTAATGATAAAGAAAATGATTTACATGTTATGACGTTTATATGTTGAATCAGTGGTTTGGTTTCCTGAGAATGGTCTATGATAAAATAAGTAGAAAAAAGTTTGCCTGGATTGTAGGATGTATATCAACTCTTGTTTTGTTCTGAAATGTCACTAGTGAAAGATCAAATTTCTTCACTACGTAATTCCTTTAATATTTTATGAGTATCATTTTTAATTATTTTTAGAGAAATTAACAACCATTATATAATTCTTAATTCTCTTCTTGAATAGCTTTAATCGAAAATTTGACTGCAAAAACAAAAGCTTGGGAAATGGAGAAAGGGATTCCATTTTTGTATGACAAGGTGATTGACAAATCTTAATTGCTTTGTGGTTCATTGTTTACATTATTCCTTAGTTTTCAATCTCTAAACTGTTTTCAACTTCCAGGCCCCCCTCTTACATGTACTGGACGAATATACTGACTGTGTCACGCCAAGAGAGAGAGGAGAAAAGCGTAGATCTCGGGTATGCTATCTATAAGTTTATGTATAATGTCGTTAGGATCAATGTATGCCTTGTCACGGTAGGTAGTAAAGGATTGAATTTTAGTTGTACTTAACAGGTTATGGAGCATTTTTCTTAGATTTAATTACAACTCCTGCTATACGTTTTCTTGTTGCCCCATCCAATCGATTCATATAGACTATATACATATTTGGATGAATGTTCAATTAAATATATGGATCCTGACTTCGGATGTAAAGCTTATAGGCATTCTTGCAGTCTTTGCTCTTTTGTGGTGGCTTTTGCGTGCAATGACCAAAACAACTAAAAGATTTACCATACGTTACCTCTGATGATTTCAGGAACAAAAACGGCTGCAAGAACAACTAGCTACAGAACAAAGGCCATATATGGTTCAAAGCCCACAATTAAAAACCTTTGGGTCAGTCTAACACCATGGTTGGAACTCCAATGATTCGTCGTGCAATGACACCATCAAACCGTCATGGAATCTCTGGTGGGAAGGATCGTAGAGAGAGTAGTAGGGTCACAAATGCAATTCCTTTGAACTATGTTGCCCTTCCGAAGGATGATTCATTCTCTTGGGGCTTAGACTGCTGGTGGCTGGTTTTAGTATCCGATTGTAAATGATGCTCCCAGAAAGAATGCTTGGCCATTACATGTTGTTTCTGAATGTTTTAGAGTATCATAGGAGAAAGATGTTTAATTTTACATTTAATAAGAATGCAAATAAAATTGTGGTAACTGGGATATCTGAATCTGAAAATTACTAGAAGTGTGAAGATCAATGTGTAATTTTACATTACTTATTGTGAAATAATCTAATCTGGAAATGGAATTTTTGTGAAATTGCCCTAATTGTTGAGTAACCTGTTGGCTGTTGCTCAAGCTCATGTCAATTTTTCTACCAATGAAAGAACAAACTGAGTCACTAGAATTGATATTTGCATGTTCATGAACAGACCATTACTCCTTGTAACACTATAAATATGCTTTGAGGAAAGTTGATTTTGTTTGAAGTTACAACCAAAAACCATCAAGAGGAGTTGTCTTAGCAGGTCTTTTTGATCCATTTAGGCCCAATTCTTTTAGCCCAATTAAGATCTGGATTTTGCTTACAACTTTTCCTGGAAATTGATTTTTTTTTTTTTTTTTATTAGATTGTCCAACTTCAAAGAATCATTGATTAAAAATATTTTAAAAAATCCAAATTTTAAAGTAATCTCCCCAAAGTTGAACCATATCTTGAATTAAATGGCATAATTAATGTCTCCAATAATGAAGAAGCCTTGTCTCTTTTTAATTTTATCTATTTCTTTAACAAGAAATGTGGCGAATTGCCTTCTGATGTACTAAAATAAAATAAATAAAAATCAAATCGTGCAAATCGATAATTGAAATCTCCTCCTCCAAAAAAATAAAAAATAAAAAAAAAGGTCGAGATCACCAAGTCATTTTCAGATCATTAATATTGTTGCCACAAAAATCCATTTGTTTTTGGTTAGTGGCTAGGTCAGATGCCCTTTTTATTTATTTTAAATTTTAATTTAATGTAAATTGTTTGTGTTTAAAGGTTATTGGTTATCCAACACAAAATAAATCAATTCTCTATAAAACAAAATTAATTTTTTTTGTTCTATATATCATGTATTGGCAAATCAGAATGTTTTCTGATTCTTTTAGTTTTAATTTTTTTTTTTTTTTAAGTTTGGAATCCTTAGCACAATTGATGACATATGCTACTATAACTTCTTGTATATGACATCATATCATATATACGTTAAATTGAGCATCCTTGATATATAATATTGAGAAATTCTCTAAAATTTTGAACATACAAATTAAGTTAGTGATAATTGTTTAGCATAGCTTATTGTATATATATTGGAAATTTTTAATAACGGACCAAAGTCAATGATCAAGCAGCTTACTTTGATTTGCGTTTTGTGAAACCAATACTAGTTGATGGTTTTTGATCCACGCGTTAACAATTGATTAATACCTAAATGGCTATATAAACTTGGTGTATTACAATTTAATAGTTTAACTTTGGTAAATTGGTATGAAAACACTTGTTTTGACGACTATTAGTATTGATGGTAATGGATCAATGGTTGAAAGATTAGGGTTGCAAGGGTTTAATAAGAATATTAAAATATATAAAGGGAAAAGTTAGAGATAGAGATTCTACATATTACAAATCCGATTATTTAAAAGCAATTCAGATTCCACAAACAGGCAATAGAATAATGGAGTGGAAGAATTTAAGAATAACTAAAAGGTTGAAGGTGCAAATAGAGTCATTCACCAATATCAAATTATTTTATTCAATCAAAGTTTGAGTTAGTGTGAACATAATTTATCTTCTTCTAATCCATTTATTTATACTGTATATAGAATCATCATCATCATCTACTTGTTGGAAACGTCTAGGAAATAAATTATTGAATTGAATAGCAACACAAATCAAAGCATAATTAAGTGATTATAATAAAGTTGAAGTGATAGTTACGTTTAAGAATCTTGTGCCCATTCAGTGTAACAATGGGATCCTACTCTTAGAATTTAGAAACATCAATAGCTAATTAAAATTAATATATATATATATATATATATAGGAATCGTTTGTTACATAATCAAGCAAACTCTCTACTGATCTCATCATGCTCATTAGTCCATCGATCTTAGTTAATTGTTTTAAGTGTTTTTATACATTCTTAACTTATAGTATAAGTCATGGATGCATGCATGGACACGTGGCCTATCCTATAAACAAAAGCTTCTCTGTAACGATTCAATATATAACTAATTAATATATGATATACGTTCGTCTTAGAATTGATTAGTTATAAAGATTTTTTTTTTTTTTTTCATTTTACAAGTTTGAGAAAATATTTTATACATCCCATGTAATATAACCCAATAATGAGAGAATATTACATTAGTCCGAGTGAAATACACTTATTTTTTCATTGGTGCCTTGGTGGTCGTATTGCAACAAAATGCACGAGAGAAAATTTACAATATCTTTTGACAAAGATGTCCATCATCGTTAATGTAATTTCATGTGCAATTAGATTTAATTAAGTAAACATATAAATGATGTGATAAACTTGTCCAATCTCTTTTAAAAACAACTCTTCAAAGAAAATGAATATGGGAAAACTAAAAAATTATATATAAGATAAATATGTGTAATAGAATTAAAAAAACAAAGGGAGCCAGCCCTTTTGTTCCTTCTGAATCAATTCTATTAGCACGTTGGCCGCGTTTTCATACTTATCATATATACTCTCATTAATTTAACACAATCAAATCTCACCAAGTTGACTTTGTATATGTATATTTATCTCTTTTCTTTTAATTTTTTTCCTAATTAATATGCACAATTTATTATCCAAAACCTTATAAACATTAATATCAGTTTGAGTTTGACAAAAAAATAAAGAAAATAAACAAGAGAGAACAATTAATAGGATGTTAACCACGATCGGGTGACCTGATGGTAAAAGAATCAAGGAAGATCTAACATGATCTCCCAAGTTTGAGTCCCTTGATAGTAAAAAAATAAGATGAGGATCTAACTTAGTCTCCCAAGAGGAGGATTTAACATGCTCTCTCAAGTTCGAGTCCTCTTAAAGGAAAAAGAGCAAGAGGAGGATCTAACATGGTCTCCCGAGTTCGAGCCATATGGTTGCTAATGGGGTGCCACTGGAACTCTTACTTGGTCGGTAGTTTCAGAGTCCCAAAGGATTAGTTGTAGTGCTCGTAAGCTGGTCTGGACACTCCCGATCATAAATAATAATAATAATAATAATATGATGTTCAATGAAGTAAGAAATTAAGATCAATGAAGCTATTAATTTCATGCAATGCAAATTCTTTTTTCGGCTTTCTTTTTTTGATTTTCTAAGAGAATAAACAGCTAGCAGAAAAATTAGACTTGCAAGAGCTTCGACAATCTGGGAGTCTGATAAATATATTCTGTCTGCTTGAAGAAGGTGTTAATATATTAAGTGATAAGGGAATATTTATATATTTTTGGGCCATCGAGAAAAGGAATATGATGCTTCAATTTTGTTTCTAGATTAAGCTTTTAAGTGTATCAGATTTAGTGGGAAAATTGGTATGATCCTTCCTTGAGGATTAAGATTCTAATTCTAATTAGCTACATGCTTCACGTGGTTTAAACATCATCTCATTAACTTAAATATCCATATGGCATCTTTACACAATCAAACCTAACATTATAAAGCTTATCCACACCGCTGAATCTTCCCCCCAGACTACAACCACAATTAGAGATTTAATTTGATTCCCATATTATATTAAGTTATTTCTGTTGTTACAATTGATATAGAAACTTAATGTATTAGATTTGGACTGTTTTAGGTAGCACCAAAGTGAACTCAAGATCTGTTTGTGTAGTGTGACGACCTTACTGGAATTTAATGTCATAAGCACCATGGAAATCGATTATACTAATGAAATATTCCTCGATGCAATTAAATATCGTTGAAATATTCAACATACATCGACGGTTTTCATGTGGCATTTTGAAATATCTCCCTGATACAAGAGATGTGTGTTGGATACACAGTTACGACATAGATATGCGTCATACTTAAGGTGAAATTTATCATATCATCATTATTACACTTTGTAGAATCTCTCCAATACAAGATGCATGTGCTGTTGGATTCACAGGTTACGATGTAGATAATGGTCGTTATTAAGGTGAAAAGTTTGTCATATTCAATCACAACTAATGAGAATTAAATATAAATCGGTTTATAAGGTTTGAGTTATTTTATTAAGTAAATGTGAAAGTTTGATATAAAACCCTAAGACAAATCCGTGTGAACTAGTCCCAAAGTAGATATGGAAGGTTCCAGGGGTTCAATATCGTAATAAAAAAATGACAATTGATCGGGTGGCTAGGGAATGAGATTCAATGTTGATATTCTTCTGATCAATAACACAACTTGGCCACTGAAATATGCTATGCGCATGTGCATGGAGTATGATAGTATGAATAATCCACCACAAAAATCAACTGTATATTTGTTGATGTGTTTATAAGTACAGGTATCTTGTGCTTATAGGATATGAATATGATAACTTATTAAAAATGTTATATGGGTCGGCAAGACAAGATATACCACATTACTATTGCTAATTATCAATATTATGATTCGGTTTAGATTTTGGCTGCTAATTCGATCTAGATATTGCTCAGGAATATAATTTCCATCGTTATCACAGATTATTCTAGATAATTGACATAGAATAATGGGCTAAAATAAGATTATTGAGATATTTATTGATATGCCAAAGCTCTTCTAGGAGAGTTGATAGTGATTATAATTAATTTCAATTAGCAATTACTCTTTTCAGTAGTAATATGTATTTAATTAAAAATAAAGGAAAGGGAGATGGAACTTGAGAAGGCATGTGAAATAAGAAGAATGAAGATAAATCATTAATGTGAATGGGATGCTGAAAGCTACAAAACTTGAAAAGTCGTGAGTTGGGAGATGCATGCTCATTATCAAAAGAGAAAAAGAACAATTTCTGATAAGTCTTTACAAGATTCTCTCTGAAAAACATATCTAACTTGTAGTTGTGAGGAAGAAATTTATAATTCATCTATTCCATTCTTGTATACAGTATAAGAAACTTTATCATTCTATTATTTGATTTTACTTTATTTTTATTTAAAAAAAAAAAAGAAATTTGACTTTTTGTTTATTAATATCAAGAAATGATAAACGACAAAAATTTTATAAATTTAGAACTTATTACAGGTTAATTAATAATTTTTTCCCACAAAAACAAAAAAAAAAAAAAAAAATCTCTTAATCCCAATGAATAATTTTATTTCTTTAATTTATCAAACACTTTTTGATAAAATTTATCATACATCTTCTTTTCTTTTGTTCTACAATTCTCTTTCTCTATTTTTATAAGTAATTTGTTCGTATCAACAAGATTAACAATGGTATTTTTTTATGCATATTCACAAATTTCATTCACATTTCGATAATATCTATTAACCAACGATCCACTTTAGAAATTGAGTAGTAATATTATATATAACTTATAATATTGTTAGGTGTTAATAATGAAGCTGCAGTATGTGGGGAGGCAATTTGTACCAATGCCTTTGGACCACATGATTTGCTATGCTAATTGCGGCAAGCATCAAAATGTATACCTCTGTGTTCCATTAATAATATATTTATAATGAATGGAATAATGAGAGAGTGATTTTACCTAATACGGCAACCACATATAAATACTTGGAAACAAACAAATTGAAAGAAAATTAAAAAAGATAAAGCTAGCAGACAATGAACTTTATCCTCCAATGGTGTCCCAATTGGATCTCACTATGGTATCATCCATCAATTCACTTGACGTTGGCTAAGGAATTATGAGATCAATTGAATGCAGCATCAGATTCCAACCAAAACACTCAACTACCATTTCTAAACTCCTAGTGGAATCTGCATCACTTGTCATTCCAAATGTTATTATCAGCTGATCCACACATTAGTGAAGATTTGTTTTTCCTAATACGACAAACACTATTCAGATAATCAAATATTGGTCGATCGATTACACAATATTTCGTAAAAAGAGAGAAATTTTTTCATCTTTGGTACAAAGTCCTTGGAATGTTTTCACCTTACATGATTATCAAATTTAACACAACAAAAACACAAGAAAAACAAAGCCCCGGGCAATATTTATATATGTAACTTTGAGAACATATAACAAAAAAGGAAAAAAAAAAAAAAAAAAAAGAGCCCTTACTTCTCTTCCATTTTAATTCAAATACTTAATTATTTCTCTTGGTGGATTTTCGCTGCAGGCATGCTAATAGCAACTGATGAACTGAGCTTTTTATCATTAGCTTCTGCCTTCTGAAATTCTACTTCATTAGCTTCAATATCTTCAATCATTGAAGCGGAATGCCCATTCCCATTTGCTTGTACTCCCTTTACGGGATCCGGAATCTCTTCGGCCACTAATTCTTCTTTCTTTTCTTTGTGTTTTCCCCACAGCACTGAGTAGAGGCCTATTACTATCAGCACTGAACCAAGCACACTGCACCCAAAAGAAGTACATTTATTTAGAGATATATAATTAATAGTCGAACCAGAAAATTGCATTTAACTTTTTAAAATTAATTAGTTAATTACCTTCCAAGATAAATATTCTCCGCGAGGATGAACGAACCCATGATGGCGACGATGATCATCATCAACGGGCTGAAAGCCGTGGCGAAAACTGGACCTCTTTTCTTTATCACAAGTCCTTGAACATAGTACGAAATGCTTGATGTCACAATGCCCTGTCAAATTATCATCATAGTAAAGAGAGATTAAGTAACTTGTAATTCGAAAATGAGATATATTTAGATAGCGAAAGGATGAATGATTACAGCGTAGGCTGCAGCGAGGAGGTTCATGTCCCAGCCGATCTGCCACACTGAGGGCTTGTGCTCCATCACAAATGTCACCGCAATCGCTTGCAAAGTGCCCACGAAGCACACAAGCGTTGTGAGCGAGAGCTGATGGTTCTTGTATGTCTCCAATGCTTTCGTCTGTTGATTCATAAAAGTTAATTTTTTGTTCTGGTTTTGATGGTTTGTTTAGCGTTAACTTTGAATAAAACTAACTCACCTGTAAAACAAACAGAGACGCCCAGGCGAGCGTGGCGAAGATGAGAAGAATTGAACCGATGAGCCATTCTCGGTCGGAGTTTCCGGTCGAGGAATTATTGGCATAAGATTTATGGGGATGAAAATTTTTGGTCCAAAACAGTTCAACAATTGGTCCTTTGTATAAGGTCATCAACATTGCTCCAGCCACTGTCACAAAAGTTCCCACCACCTTCGCTTGACACCTTATTTTCTTCATATTCAGCTTCTCCATTCTGCAGTAAATTCATTCGAGAACAAAATTATTATAAGAACTACTAAAAATAGAGATAGTTTTAATTAATTTCATATATGTTATGTAATCTTACCGGAATATGACTGCCATGACAAACGTCATGGCAGGAAGCATGTTACTCATGGCACATGAAAAAGTCGGAGAGGTAAATTTCAAACCCGCATAGTAGAAGTTCTGGTCAATCACCGGCCTGTAATTCAAGTAATTTGAGTCAAATTTATATCAAATAATATAGTTTTTTAAAAGTTCAAATCCAGCAACATGAACGTACCCGAGAAGGGCAAGGACAAAAATTTGCATGAAGACTGGGAATGTTATCTTCGGTTGCGCCTTCCTGAAATTGAAAAAAAACAATCAGAAATCGATCAGATTTACGCTAGAGTTACATCAAGTAGACTAAAAGTGTACAAATTAAAAGTTGTTTGATTGAACCTCTCAAGAAATATAGCGAAAGGAGCAATGACAGCGGTGGCAAAGGCGTGCCGATACACCACAAGAACGTAGTGAGACATGCCGCGGTTTAATGAAACTTTAGTGATGATGTTCATGCCGGCATAGCCGAATTGCAGAGAGATCATGGCGAAATAGGGTTTGGAGTTCTCCAGGAAACTGCTGCAACATCTTAACTTCTCCATTTTGGCGAAGAAGAAGAATAAATTGGAGTGACAAAAAGAGAAGAAATTGAAGGAAGAGGAAGAAACAGCTGAAGATTGCTGTGGTTGCTTCCTAATCAAAATGGTGGTACTTGACACCTATTTATAACTTTGGAAAAGTCAGTGAGTTGGGGAGATGCTCATGCTCATTTATCAAAAAGAAAAAACGAACAATTTCTGATAAGTCTTTACAGAGATTCTCTTCTGAAATAACATATCTAACTTGTAGTCTGTGGAAAGAAATTTATAATTCATCTATTCCCATTCTTGTATACAGTATAAGAAACTTTATCATTCTATTATTTGATTTTCACTTTATTTTTATTTTAAAAAAAAAAAAAAGAAATTTGACTTTTTGTTTATTATATCAAGAAAGATAAACGACAAAAATTTTATAAATTTAGAACTTATTACAGGTTATATAATTTAATTTTATTCCCAAAAAAAAAAAAAAAAAAAAAAAAATCTCTTAATCCCATGAATAATTTTTATTTTCTTAATTTATCAAACACTTTTTGATAAAATTTATCATACATCTTCTTTTTCTTTTGTTCTACAATTCTCTTTCTCTATTTTTATAAGTAATTGTCGTATCAACAAGATTACAATGGTATTTTTTTATGCATATTCACAAATTTCATTCACATTTCGATAATATCTATTAACCAACGACCCACTTTAGAAATTGAGAGTAATTTATATAAACTATAATATTTTAGGTGTTAATAATGCGCGCAGTAGGCGGGAGGCCAATTTGTACCTGCCTTTGGACCAATGATTTGCTATGCTAATTGCAACAAGCATAAAAAAATACTCTGTGTCCAACAATATATGTATTTATAATTAATGGAATAATGAGATGTGATTTTTAACTTAATAGAAAAATTAGACTTACAAGAGCTTCGACAATCTGGGAGTCTGATAAATATATTCTGTCTGCTTGAAGAAGGTGTTAATATATTAAGTGATAAGGGAATATTTATATATTTTTGGGCCATCGAGAAAAGGAATATGATGCTTCAATTTTGTTTCTAGATTAAGCTTTTAAGTGTATCAGATTTAGTGGGAAAATTGGTATGATCCTTCCTTGAGGATTAAGATTCTAATTCTAATTAGCTACATGCTTCACGTGGTTTAAACATCATCTCATTAACTTAAATATCCATATGGCATCTTTACACAATCAAACCTAACATTATAAAGCTTATCCAATGTTAATCTTAAGACTCAAAACTTAGAGATTTAATTTGATTCCCATATTATATTAAGTTATTTCTGTTGTTACAATTGATATAGAAACTTAATAGGTATTAGATTTGGACTGTTTTAGGTAGCACCAAAGTGAACTCAAGATCTGTTTGTGTAGTGTGACGACCTTACTGGAATTTAATGTCCATAAGCACCATAGGAAAATCGACTTATACTAATGAAATATTCCTCGATGCAATTAAATATCGTTGAAATATTCAACATACATCGACGGTTTTCATTGTTGCATTTTGTAGAATATCTCCCTGATACAAGATGTATGTGTTGTTGGATACACAAGTTACGACATAGATAATGCGTCATACTTAAGGTGAAAAATTTATCATATCATCATTATTACACTTTGTAGAATCTCTCCCAATACAAGATGCATGTGCTGTTGGATTCACAGGTTACGATGTAGATAATGCGTCGTAATTAAGGTGAAAAGTTTGTCATATTCAAATCACTAACTAATGAGAATTAAATATAAATCGGTTTATAAGGTTTGAGTTATTTTTATTAAGTAAATGTAGAAAGTTTGTATATAAAACCCTAAGACAAATCCGTGTGAACTAGTCCCAAAGTAGATATGGAAGGTTCCAGGGGTTACAATATCGTAATAAAAAAATTGACAATTGATCGTGTGGCTAGGTAATGAGATTCAATGTTGATATTCTTTCTGATCAATAACACAAAAGCACAACTTGGCCACTGAAAATATGCTATGCTGCATGTGCATGGGAGTATGAATATAATCCACCACAAAAATCAACTGTATATTTGTTGATGTGTTTATAAGTACAGGTATCTTGTGCTTATAGGAATATGAATATGAATATAACTTTATTAAAAATGTTATATGGGTCGGCAAGACAAGATATCTCTTTACTAAATATGTATATATACACATTACTATTGCTAATTATGAGGATGATGCATGGCTCTTCTGATTCGATTTAGATTTTGGCTGCTAATTCGATCTAGATATTGCTCAGGAATATAATTTCCATCGTTATCACAGATTATTCTAAGATAATTGACAATAGAATAATGGGCTAAAATAAGATTATTGAGATATTTATTGATATGCCAAAGCTCTTCTAGGAGAGTTGAAAATGATTTAAATTTTATTATAATTTAATTTCAATTAGCAAATTACTCTTTTCAGTAGTAATATGTATTTAATTAAACAAATTAAAGGGAAAAGGGAGATGGAACTTGAGAAGGCATGTGAAATAAGAAGAATGAAGATAAATCATTAATGTGAATGGGATGCTGAAAGCTACAAAGGAGCTTTGAAAGTCAGTGAGTTGGGGAGATGCTCAGCTCATTATCAAAAAGAGAAAAACGAACAATTTCTGATAAGTCTTACAGAGATTCTCTTCTGAAATAACAATATCTAACTTGTAGTCTGTGGAAGAGAATTTATAATTCATCTATTCATTCTTGTATACAGATAAGAAACTTTATCTCTATTATTTGATTTTTCACTTTATTTTATTTTAAAAAAAAAAAAAAGAAATTTACTTTTTGTTTATAATATCAAGAATGATAAAAACGACAAAATTTTATAAATTTAGAACTTATTACAGGTTATTAATTTAATTTTATTCCCAAAAAAAAAAAAAAAAAAAAAAAAAATCTCTTAATCCCAATGAATAATTTTATTTCTTTAATTTATCAAACACTTTTTGATAAAATTTATCAATACATCTTCTTTTTTGTTCTACAATTCTCTTTCTCTATTTTTTAAGTAATTTGGTCGTATCAACAAGATTAACAATGGTATTTTTTATGCATATTCACAAATTTCATTCACATTTCGATAATATTATAACCAACGACCCACTTTAGAAAATTGAGTAGTATATTATATATAACTTATAATATTGTTAGGTGTTAAAATGAAGCTGCAGTAGGGGGGAGGCAATTTGTACCAATGCCTTGGCCAACATGATTTGCTATGCTAATTGCAACAAGCATAAAAAAAATACCTCTGTGTCCAACAATATATGTATTTATAATTAAGGGAAGATGAGATAGTGATTTTACTTAATACGGCAACCACATATATATATACCCAAATACTTGGAAACAAACAAATTGAAAGAAAATTAAAAAAGATAAAGCTAGCAGACAATGAACTTTATCCTCCAATGGTGTCCCAATTGGATCTCACTATGGTATCTACCATCAATTCACTTGACGTTGGCTAAGGAATTATGAGATCAATTGAATGCAGCATCAGATTCCAACCAAAACACTCAACTACCATTTCTAAACTCCTAGTGGAATCTGCATCACTTGTCATTCCAAATGTTATTATCAGCTGATCCACACATTAGTGAAGATTGTTTTTTAATACGACAAACACTATTCAGATAATCAAATATTGATCGATCGATTACACATATTTCGTAAAAAGAGAGAAAGTTTTTCATCTTTGGTACAAAGTCCTTGGAATGTTTTCACCTTACATGATTATCAAATTTAACACAAGAAAAACAAAGCCCGGGTAATATTTTATATGTAACTTGAGAACATATAACAAAAAGGAAAAAAAAAAAAAAAAAAAAAAAAGAGCCCTTACTTCTCTTCCATTTTAATTCAAATACTTAATTATTTCTCTTGGTGGATTTTCGCTGCAGGCATGCTAATAGCAACTGATGAACTGAGCTCTTATCATTAGCTTCTGCCTTCTGAAATTCTACTTCATAGCTTCAATATCTTCAATCATTGAAGCGGAATGCCCATTCCCATTTGCTTGTACTCCCTTTACGGGATCCGGAATCTCTTCGGCCACTAATTCTTCTTCTTTTCTTTGTGTTTCCCCACAGCACTGAGTAGAGGCCATTACTATCAGCACTGAACCAAGCACACTGCACCCAAAAGAAGTACATTTATTTGAGATATTAATTAATAGTCGAACCAGAAAATTGCATTTAACAGTTTAAAATTAATTAGTTAATTACCTTCCAAGATAAATATTCTCCGCGAGGATGAACGAACCCATGATGGCGACGATGATCATCATCAACGGGCTGAAAGCGTGGGCGAAAACTGGACCTCTTTCTTTATCACAAGTCCTTGAACATAGTACGAAATGCTTGATGTCACGTGCCCTGTCAAATTATCATCATAGTAAAGAGAGATTAAGTAATTGTAATTCGAAAATGAGATATATTAGATAGCGAAAGGATGAATGATTACAGCGTACGCTGCAGCGAGGAGGTTCATGTCCCAGCCGATCTGCCACACTGAGGGCTTGTGCTCCATCACAAATGTCACCGCAATCGCTTGCAAAGTGCCCACGAAGCAACACAAGCGTTGTGAGCGAGAGCTGATGGTTCTGTATGTCTCCAATGCTTTCGTCTGTGATTCATAAAAGTTAATTTTTTGTTCTGTTGATGGTTGTTTAGCGTTAACTTTGAATAAAACTAACTCACTGTAAAACAAACAGAGACGCCCAGGCGAGCGTGGCGAAGATGAGAAGAATTGAACCGATGAGCCATTCTCGGTCGGAGGTTCCGGGTCGAGGAATTATTGGCATAGATTTATGGGATGAAAATTTTTGGTCCAAAACAGTTCAACAATTGGTCCTTGTATAAGGTCATCAACATTGCTCCAGCCACTGTTCACAAAAGTTCCCACCACCTTCGCGGTGACACCTTATTTTCTTCATATTCAGCTTCTCCATTCTGCAGTAAATTCATTCGAGAACAAAATTATTACAAGAATACTAAAAATAGAGATAGTTTTGAATTATTTCATATAGTTATGTAATCTTACCGGAATATGACTGCCATGAC